GCGGAACGACGTCAAAGCTCCACGGGGGATGGGCTACTCCTTGTTGGGCTACTCCTCCCGCTAAAGTGTCCGTCATCCCTTTGACCTTGTGGGATTTTGTGAACTTGATTCATCATTCACTGTTGCTAGGTGAGTCCAGCCGAACAGTTCCCTTTGTCCAGGTAAGGCTTCGATTTGTGTTTAGGGGATCTTCAGGCTGTCCAGGAAGGCACGTCCACGAGGGTAGGTCTGGTGGAAAGTAAGTAATCCTGGTTTTGATTCTACCTTGTTCTGAGACATGAACTTCGCCATTAGGTTGGAGGCCATCGCTTCTAGGTCGGAGGCCATCGCAGTTAGGTTGGAGGCCATCGCATTGCTTGAACTGAGCACCACGGATCTGACATTTCGTCCTTTCCGAAAAAGCGCCCAAACACGGTCCAACAGGCCATGGACAGAGTAGTGTTTGTGCTCATGCAGTACATTTCCTGGCCACCAGCGAGGCTGGTGAGGAACTGGAAACTGGCGGAACTCACAGGGGCCATTGTGCTGATCAAACTCAAGCCGGGGATCCGCAAGAGGGAGATCATTCTGAGGAAGCTTAAGTGTTGGAAGGATCTGACAGCTCCAGCCGCAAAGGCCCGGAAAAACATGGATAGATAGCTCACTGAACCGTCTTAATTGCTCCAGGCTGGGCAGATCATGTTGACCATCCCAACTGTGGATTCACAAACACTTACCAATATAAGCCAGGCAGTTTCTCGCTTGCATTGGGTTACGCAACAAAAGCTAGGTAGATCTCAAGCACAGGGTATGCCCTAGGGCCCAACCCATGAGCAAAGAGGAACATACGCCAAAACCATCCGAAACCAAGACCAGATATGACCAGATTATTATATACACATAAGTCACATAAGAGAATCTTATGATATGTTATCTTGTCGCTGCTATCCAAGCTGCTGGAAGAACGCAGCGGAAGGCGTTGGGTGAGGAGCAGCAGAAGCACTTCATGGTCGACGCGAACTCAGTGTCGGAAAGGAGCAGAAGGCTTTGTTTTTGCATTTATAATGGTCCGTGATGCAGCTCAAGAAACATGTACAGTAAATCTTTGTAAATCCATCATAATCCATCCCAAAGCGAGGAAATCTAAAATGGACATTCAGGATCTAAATTTCAGTGGTTGCACAGATATGTGCGGTTGGGGTCCAATTCTTCGGAAGCTTGAAAGAAGGTGAAAGGAGTAAGAAGCCATGCAATAGACATATATAGACATGTTTCATGGATGTTTAGTGTATTTTGCTGATGCTTCACGTTCCCAAATCATTGATTTTGGCCATATGCTGATGTTAGTTCATGTCTTTGTGGATCAATCCGTACCGAAATCGCACCATCGGACAGCCCGTGGCACCGGGCATTGGGTCACCCAAGGCACGCGCGTTGATGGAGTGGCGCCGACAGCTGGCGGAGCTGGGAGACCCCAGCAGCGAGCTGTGTGACACCGAGAGGTGGGATGGTTGGTCCCCAGCAGATTGGTGGAATTGGTGAGAATCTGTGGTACATGATGGTACATGTAAAACGTGTGTACGTGTGTTCCCAGCGGTCTGAATTATCCTAGACTCACTAACATTGCAGTGGAAACCGACCCCTGGAAGACGATTTTCCTCCACAGACAGGTGTGGTGTCCACTTCCATGGCAGCAAGATGCAGCTAGTTGGAGTGTATTTTGGTCTATTTTAATATATAGATTCTGGTCGTTTCTGACGACAACCGCCCGCACCGTTTGCTTCGAGAGAGAGCGCGTTTGGAAAGGTAATTCATGTCCAAGCCACCCCAGATGATGCGTAACTGAATGAGCAGGACTCGAGATCTTTCATGTATATATAAAGTTTATTGTAACTATCTTTCGACCCCTTGAAATTGACACATTTTTAGGGGGTCCAACTTATATCCAGCAATTCCTAATAAATTCCATAAAGTTCCTATGTCCCATATTATTATTGCATTCATCCACTGCATAGTACTTGGCATCTCGAGGTCATGCACTGTAAACGTGTATATAGTCGCTTTAGTTTTTGCCTACGACGTTAACTGGGGCCCCACGTGAAGCCACCGTTTTTAGGGTTTTGTTCAATCGTATCGCATGTTAGGGCACATGCGCGGTGCTCGGGATTGACTCGCAAACATAGACACCGTGTTTGTGGAGTGGAGTGGGGGGACAATATACACACCTTTACGCAGCCGTATACACGTGCAGCACACGTTTGAACTTTGTCTTTCCTTGTGTCTCGTTCTCTTGTTGCATTTGAGCTTTACTTTTCCGCTTTCGAGGATCACCCTGTGTGTTTCGCGGAGGTGAGTCATAGTAAACATGAGTTTACTAAAGACCTGAAAGGTCAAAAAGAAGAAGAAGAAGAAGCAGAAGAAGTTTGCCCACCAGGCATCCGTTGCAGAAACGGAAGCTTTAGTCAACTTCTGGAATCTCTCGAAGCTGTCTATGCCCAGGACGTTGACCGAAGCGGGTGCCAGAGTGGTGTCGCAGAGGCTGTGGAGCTATGCTTACAGCTTTCAGTTTCGATGGAACGTCAAGGAAGATCTCTGGATGGAGGTCGCCCGGCTGGTGATCTGAAGAAAGAAAAGGCGCTTGTGCCGAGCGCCCCTTGTCAAAATGCACTTCTTCTCCCCAGTGACCCTGGGACCTTGGCAACCCATGTGCCTTCTATACGGGGCCTGCACATACAAAGCCAGCGTGACCATTGTGAGGTCTACGACAATAACCACCAAAAACCCAGCATTTTTAACAATTGCAACTTGATGTCTTCCAATGAAGTGCTCATTTCGCGAGGGACCCCGGTTGACGTCGTTGCCTAGTTCTTAGACCCCCTGAAAGGGTACATGTCTCAGGGGGTCCAACTTATATCCAACACTGCCTGCAAAACTGGTGCGTTTTCCTTTGGGTCTTATATTTGCACTTGGCTTTCTTGTTTGCAAGGAATCTTTTTCCGACCTAGAGATGACGCATTAAATATCTATGTCGGAAAGACCAAACATTGTTGGTGGATATAAGTTGGACGCCCTGAGAAATGTATAAATTCAAACAGGGGTCGAAAAGAGAGGTGATTACATAACTTTACAATGTGCATGGTGACCCTCAGATGACAGGCACCATGCAGTGGATGAAAGAAACTATGTGATACATATTGAGAAGTAAACAATTTGCAGACGCTGTTGGATACAGGTTGGACCCCCTGAAACATGTACAATTTCAATGGGCCGAACGAAGATGGATTACAATACATTATGTTAAATGCATGATGACCTAGAGATGACAAACACCATGAGTGGATGATCATATTCAATGTCTCGTTACTGCAGTTTTCGCATCACCAGTTCCATGAAAGGTATAGTAACGATTTGTTCCAACAGTTTAGACCACTTGTCACTGCAAACATGCCACTGTCCTGTCTCAGATCACTTGGCACACCGTCTCCACATCAATCGTTGCAAAACCTCCAGTTTCTTGTGTTTTTGCATTGTTTTTGCATGTGTTCTTCCACCGTTTCCCCTCCAGACACACCTCATGACGCACGTCTGTTCCCAAACGAGAAAGTTCTTCCCCAGAATTAATGCCGTAGGAACTCAGTGTTCGCATCTCAACACAACCTCAGCACACCTTCGCCCGTCAGCACCTACGGCACAGGTGGATTTTGCATGTGTTTGTTGGCCTACTAGTAAGTTAGCCTTCGTTCAGCTTCGTTCAGTTGGAACCCGCAGGGTGGGCCCAATGCAGGTGACGGTATGTTCCGTTTCCTTTGTGATTATTGTGATCCGTCGATTGAATTTCACGTTGCTAGAGGATGTGTGTCAATGGGTGCATTTTTGTCTAATTGATGTTTGGGTGTTTGTTTTATTCCTCTTTAAGAGTGGCGTCTGGGCCATTGCAATGTGGGAAGGACCATCTGTGAAGGATCCATGAAACAAAATTTCCATGCTGAGGGGCTATAGATCCTATAGGTGAGAGTCAGGTCCGCACGACCGGCTGTGACACAAGGGGCTGCCGTTTGTCCACAAACAGCATTTTGGAGACGACCACAACATACAGGGGGTGGCGATAAGACCGATCTGATTCTGTAGACCTCATGGAAAAAAATATGGGGATGCCCTGGTTTAGGCAACCAAGCAGGCTTCATTTTGAACGACTACCAGAGGACAAATGGGGGTCCCGGTTTGAGATGTACAGGTACAATTTTTATATGTAAATCTTGGTGGTTGGATCGTAAACTTTTTGTCCGATAGAACTACTGGGAGTTTGGGATTGACAAAATATAAAGAACCACTGAGGGATCGTCAGAAATAGTCTTGTCCTTGCCTCATCCCCACACAAACTATGGTTCTCCCGTCAAACAGCTAGTGTTTGGGACAATGGAACACACGCTGTTCCCATCACTCGATGCTTGTACACCCTGAGGCAGCGGCACCATGTTCGCTCACAACAACACCTGGGCCGCCGTCACGTGGATGGAGCATACAGTGGATACAGATGATGGGCCTTCAGGATGGGCGTTGTTTGACAACCTGTATATAAGAGTAATATACAATATATATATATATACAGCTCTAGTATATTAATATATCGTATTTATTTTTATATTTGGAAACTGAGTGCGAATCAACAAATTTCAACATCGTTTCAAGTCATGTTTGACAGTAAGCATGATGCGTGAAGCCACAAATCAGGTCTGTCGTAGGGATAGTGAGCTCACGTGCTCGGAATTTGTGGGGATGAACCGGCAGTGCTCAATTCCACTCAAGCTCATGGAGTGTCACCATATGTCACCATCAAATTCAATGTATGGCAGCTCCAATGGAATTCATATAGACATCATCCAGCGCTTTATCCATGTTTGTTGGGGGACATGCTCAGGCTGAGATCTCCAGATTGAGACCGAATCTACACGCCGAGGTGAAGGCCTCTTGCAGCAAGTGGCCGGGGCCTGGGCTTCGGACCAGGCGTGGGGAGAAGACAAGAAGAACACCCCCTTCACATTGACAAGCAAGTGCTCCACCGGCATTCGGGTGTTCATTCCACAGGCCACATGCGCTGCTGTGATTCGCGCCAACCACCGAAGGATTTCGGCTGGAAGAGAAGCTCGGCTGTTCGCCCCTGTGCCAGCAGTGTCTAGCATCATATCACGTGGCTAACAGAGGCGGCTCAATGTCAGGGAGTTCCCCCGCTGTCCGAGAATGTCAGGCCATTCCGAAGAAGGAACAGCTTCTTCACACAGAGTCTTAGTTGCAGTACTGCGGCGAAGATGTGATATTATCCTGATATTCCAATATCTCATGGAAGATGTGATCATAAACTGATCTGTCATTTCTTGCAGAAACATTGGAGAATGTGTTTGTGTGTGTTTGTTCCAGCTGGTTCCACCAGCGAGTCCGAGCACATAGGAGAATCATGCAGAATCAAGTGCGAGACTCAAAAAGGGACGACTCATCATCTAATCTGTATGTGTATGTTTTCGGACGTATGTATATACATGGTTCTAGTGAATATACACTGTCATGTGGAAAGTCATACCTTTTCATATTTGTAGTATAGGAAATGAGAAAAGCCCTTTCCCCCTTGGAATCCTACTGTACATGCAAACATAAGCACAATTTGTGGTCGGACTTCTGCACCAGAAAGTCTGTGGAAATTGCACCACGCTGTGGCTGTACCTGCCACGAAAAAGATCTAATTTGTAAATATCGATCCACAATGGACAGCAGGCACAATGCAACCACGTGTCAAGAGGCACAAACTGTTGCGAGTGTGAGGGTCAAGGGGCCTGAGTTTCACTATGCTGCTGCGCATCTTTTGCAGGTTTTGTGGAGAAAACAAATTCTTTCTGCAGCCTGATATGTGTATAGAGAGGTAGCAGACATTGTGGAAGAATGACATATATTATAATTGAATAATCAAGTTTACAGAGGCAAATGTCACAAGTCAGCCGATGTTGATGATAAATCAGATTGTGCAGCATCGACACCTTGTGCAGAGTGGGATTGAAAGATGATGACGCTCCATTGTCTTGTAATGTTTGGTTTGTTTTGGTATGCTTGTGTTTGTTGTTTGTAATTGTTTGCATTCTTGGTGGCCTTTCTCTCTTAAATTAGTAAAACCTGTGCTTAAGCAGTGTGTTCGTTCCTTCTTGTCTTGTTTGTCAGCTATTGGTAAGCTATTGTTCCTTTCATTTACCGTGGTTTCAGAGTAGATGACGCAATCCCCAAGAGGTGTGTGTATGTGTTTTTAATGCCCCCCCATATAAAAGATATCTTTGGGTTTGTGCCAGCTATGCAGCTATTCTAAAACCACTGTAACTTTTTCACTGCTGATACACTTGGTTTACAACATCATATGTTCACAATTGTTCATATTATAAAGAAAACACATACAGTACAGTAAGTCATCCTTTTCCCTCCACACTCTTCCCTACAAGTTCTCCCAAGTCTCAATAGGCTTTCTGTTGCTCCAGGAGGCTAGACTGGAATCATGGGTGTGTTATGTGTGTATATATCATAGACATGCTTTTTAAATGTGTTTGGTATTGTTGCTTTTGTCTTGTTGACTCAGCACTCACTTTACTGCACTCGCACCTCGCGGGCTGGCACACTGAACTTGCGTGCTGGCACTCTAAATTTTGGGGATACACCAATGCAACTATTTCCTCGAAACACATTGACATGCATTTGGGAACTGATGTCCTCTTGCTTCTTAGAGGCACTGGCACTGGGCGTACAGTACAGATGTTATTGCATATTCCGGACGGAATGTGTTTTTGTCAGATGCTAATTACTGGAGATGCTGTATGTTTTCTGCTTCTATTGAAACATATTGAAACACACATAGCTATGTGTGATCTCGGAGCCGAATCGGAGAGAATCAATGTGATCAGCCGAGATTGGCCCAGGACGAGGTGTGCGCAGCCCACCGGAGAGAGGTGACGCCACGCGGAGACCGAGTTGTCCGAAATCGATGCTTTGGTGCCGTTTTGTAGTTGTTAATAAGAGGACGCTACTGCTACTGTAACATGTTGGGCATCGCTACTAGGAGCAAGGACGCTACTAGTAGCTCCTGGCCTTACTACTAGTAACTACTATAATTACTATAGAGTAGTTATTCTATATCCATGGAATCCGTGGGTTCAGTTTTCGTTTGACCCACAGAAATCTGACAAGTTGACCGATCATGATGTGTTGACGGGATTGTCGGCCCGATGGTGTTTTCATCACGTTGGGTTGCACTTATGGTGAATAGTTTTTTGGTTGGACATCTGGATGGCGAGTGTACTGAACTTGAAGAAACACTGACAAAACCGCTGGTTCATGCGGTTGCTTTTCCCTATGAAACAAGAGCTTTGATGGGCAGGTCTTCGAAGTCAGAAGGTGCCCAAGAGATTGAAGGGGAATTACATGTGTCCTATAGATTGAGTGGGGTCATTTCAGGTCGCCAGGCGAGTTTTTCTTTTTCAATGGCGGTGTATTCTTACCAGTTCATGGCTACAAGAATGCTACAGGAATCGAAAGTCGAAAGGCCCTTAGACTTTATGAGCCATCTACCAAGCGTGGGCATTGGTGCGCCAAGCGCGGGTGTCGGTTCGGCGTGCCATCAGGTGGTCAAGGCTCGAAAGGCTGTTGCGCTCTTCCTCTGGAAGAATCGCTTCGACCCTGGAGATCCCAACTCTCCACGAGGATTCTTTGTGACATATCCCCTGCATGAGGCGAAAAGTGACATGTCCATGTGGCCCTACGTACAGAGTACAGAGAGAATGAGAGAGAGAGAGAGAGGACGAGTATCGACCAGTAACGACGAATGCCAATGTGTTACATGACCAAGAGGATCGTCCCAGCTTTCGTCTTTGCTGTATACAGATGAATCCCTAGTGACCTAGTGCAATTGGTTCCAATGAAGATCATGGCTACAAGCTGAGCGAAATTCCTTTGCAAGAGCAAACAAGAATTCGAGGGCTGCCTTTTTGTAATGAGTATGTTAGTATGTTTGAGGGAATGTATATATATATATATATACTCGCCCTGAACCCTTGCAGGCTGCAAAGCAGAACAATGCCTACATTGCTTCGAAGCTGTTGATGTTTGGAGCTCGCCTTGAGCAGAAGGATTTTTGGGGCCACACGGCTGACTCCTACGCAGGACCAGCGCATAGCAGGGCATTAAAGCTTTGCAGTGGGATAAAACAACTTTCATCTCTTCATGATCCGGGAATCTACGCATCTCTGAGCCCAGTTCAAGTTATAGAGTTGGAGTTAGAAGTTAGAGCCTCTAACTTAGAGCCTAGATGAGCCTAGCAAAAGTTCTCGTGACTTCTATATCAGCCACCCTCTTGTAAAGTGTCGAAGTCAGTATTCAAAACGTCAACTACAACGTCACGTTTCCACTCTTTGTTTACATCAACTACAACGTCATCACCAACATAGTTCGCAACCGATACTGCCTTTCAAGACAGTACAGGCCCTTTATAGAAGAGGGCTGCTGATATAATTATCCATTTGTAATGAGTCTCCCATGAAGAACGTCCCATGAAACGACATGGGACAGATGCTGGGAGCCGGGCAGATGAAGTGGTCTTCAGACGGAGATTTTTTGGATCAGCAACACATTCACATTGGGAGGATGAACACCAGCAAGGATGCTGTTGTTTCTTCTTATTTTGGCAGCCTTCCCAGGCAGGGTGGTTAGCCATTTGATCAAGTCACATCAAGTCATTGAGTCTTGGGATTCCAGGGCGAGATATGTCTCATCCGCGGGTTGGTTTGTGAGCACCACTCGCAGGAAAGCACTCGCACCACGAGATCATGAAGGTCCTTCAGCATCACGTTCCTTGGTTTTGACCGTGGGACCATCCCATCAAGCAGTTGCTGGTTGCCTAAGTTGGAACATAAAGGAGCCAGCCTTGACAGGTTTTCATGGTTGAGTCCAGTTCCACGTGTTTTGTTTCTACCTGTCCCACTTTCGAAAGGAATCCCAACTGCTCTGATAAAAGGCCAGGTATGACCCAACTACTCTGGGCCTGGGTCAACGGGAGACAATGTCAAAACTCACCGAGACAAACACGGAAAGAACACTCAGTGCTTTTGGCACCAATCCGGCAGAAATGCCACACGCACGCATGGCCGGCCGAGTGGCAGCCCAAGACGCCTTTGACTTCCGTGCATCCATTTGAGGCCAAGTACTGCCTGTCGCCCTATGACTTTTGTCATGCGCCGGTCAAGTGGCAGGCTTGTCCACCTCCACGCGGTTTCGAAGAATTCTTCGCACATCTGGAAGTCGATCCCTTGGTCCAGGTGCCGGCTTGTCAGAGTGGGAGGATTGGGAGGTCTTTTGAGGAGCTAGGGGCTCCTGGCCGTACTACTAGGAACAAGAAGCTACTAGGGGCTCCTGGCATCGCTACTAGGAGCAAGGACGCTACTAGGGGCTCCCGTCGATCCAAGACTTAAAGCCGATGGTATCTTCCAGTACATCGACCCTAGTAGCGTCCTTGCTCCTAGTAGCGAGTAGATAGTATTTACACCATGAACGCGTCGCAAGAGAGTTATTCACTTGGTTGTGATATGTTGTGACCCTGCTCAGGTGCGCAGTGAAAGTCAATGGTTGTTGCTTCGTGGATGCCACCGTGTACGAAATGTACATCGTTTGAACTTTGGCAAAGATCGTGTGCCGGCCACGACTTCTGCGCAGGAAACCAAGCTTCGTTTGTAGCTTCCCGAGTCCAGAACAGCTGGAGGCTGCACGAAGGATTCGGGCAATTCGGCTCTCCAGCCGCGATCTCTTCCATGTTTGGTCTTAGCCCTTCTGGCCCAGCAGTCCTTGCATGCGGTCCCTGTGCATCAAAGTCTAGGACGGTCACTGGGTCACTGGCTTTACTAGTTAGTAGCAAGAAGCTACTAAGTGGAGGCCATCGCTATTAGGTTGGAGGCCATCGCTACTGGTAGCAAATAGCTACTAGTAGGATGATGACCTAGAGATACCGATTTCCGTCAATCCCGAACATGTCTTGGACATCTCATCCGTTTGGAATCACTTCGTAGTTTGGCATGTCCAAGAAAAAGACAGAACAAAACATGCAACTGGGACCGGAGTACAAAAAGCCAGATTCGTTTCAAGTTTCAATGAATTTGATGCAGCGATCAGTTCATATCAGTTCCCTTTGTTCTGATCAATGGAACAGTGTCTTTGGCAGGCCTCACACCGAGGCTCCTGGGGTTCACCGAGGCCTCGCTTTGCGAGATATCCTTGCTTCACGGCCACAAGTGTTGTGGTGCAAAACGAGTCGATATGAGCATTTCCAAGGAAGTCACACAGAAGAAACCCTCAGCAAAAACCCTCAGCAAACAGCGTGAATAAGCAAGTAAATCACTCAAAGTGGAACCTTGAGTAGTCAGGATCAACTTCCTTGGACCTCATTGGTTCGGATTACCCAGAGTAGTTCGCACCAAGACACTTCTTTTGGCTTCTTTTACATGGCTTTTGCCCTCATATCGATTTTTGGGGGTACCGGTAGGGGGTGATTTCTAGGTAGAACAACAAACATCATGTTTGCTACTGCTCCGTCCTTGTTCCATCAGGCCAAAAGGAGCTTGAGTTTCTGGATGGACTGAAATCTGGGATCATGAAACAATGCCGTACAACTGGCGAAGATCAAACACCCTTCGTTGATTGTCCGGAATACATCAATGTGGAAACAGACCAGTCAGCGATTTTTTGAGGCAAGGAGTCTTGCAGTGAAGTCTGAGGCCTGCCAGCTGTATTTGTCAGTTTGAAGGTGTCCCAGTCCCATGTTGCAGACGGAGGTCCTAAAGCTTCATTAGAAAGCATATTGTAATACGTTGTAATGATGTGCCGCTGGTTTGGCATGTTCTTGACCTATTGAGTAAGGAGGCCGCGAGTGGTCTTCAGGTCCTCAGGATTCGCAGCACCTGGGACGCCATGTCGGTTGGCAGCTGTTGGAAGCCCCTGGCAGATGACTTCGAGATAGATGTGTGGATCGAGTCCCAATGATTCCCATTCTCTCGACTTTGGAAGACTTTGCTGGGTTTGCATCACAGACTATGTTGGAAAAGGTTGCCTCAGCAACCTGGAGTTTCATTAGCTTTAGCTTAGGGCCCAGATCCTCCTCCATAACCTGATTTCAGGGTCAACTACCCGTGGGACGGGTGAATTTCCCTTCAATTGTATCGTGGCATGGCGTCAGTGGATTCATATCGAGCTTCTCCTCCCTCCTCGTTATTTTGATTCTTTGCTACTGGTGCTGCAACTTTGGTGTGATTGCATTCGTATTGAGCTTCTCAGCTGCTGCTGCTGCTGCTGCTGCTGCTGCTGCTGCTGCTGCTTTGGTAGTGTGATTGGATTCGTACCGAGCTTAGCCTCCATCCTCCCTATTTTGCGTTTTTGCTGCTGCTACTGGTGCTGAAGCTTTGGTGTGATTGCATTTGTATTAAGCTTCTCAGCTCCTGCTGCTGCTGCTGCTGCTGCTGTTGCTGTGTCGCCGTTGCTGCTGCTGGTGCTGCTTTGCTGCTGCTTTGCTCTTCTGCTGTTACTGCTGCTGCTTTGCTGCTTTTGCTGCTGCGATTGCTGCTGCCTGCTGTTGGTTTGTTGCTGCTCCTTTGTTGCTGGTGGTGCTGCTGCTGCTGCTGCCGCCTCTGCTGTTGCCCGCCCTTCGTTGCTTACGAACCTTTCGTCTCAAGTGTTGGACATGTAGAGAGGACAGTTGAATGCTCCCAATGATTTGGGAAACAATCGGAGTAACCTAGCCAGCCAGAGGGTAGATCGATGACACAAAAGGTCTAGAAGGGTATGAACAAACATATTTTTATTCTTCTTTTGCAGGGTTTTGTTGCTGGGGCTCCGATTGATTGGGGTGCAAGGAAAAAGGATCCCACCCACCACTGCCCCGTGCCCTGAAGGCCATCCTACAAGTTATAAAGAAAGTAAAGTTCTGGCTTCTGCCTGGAGATGCCGATGAGAGCGGCCGCCATGCAGTGTTTGGATGCTAAAGCTCCAAGCACACTTAGTGGGAATCGTGGCTTAGGCTTTAAAAGCTTAAGGTTTAAAAGCGTTTCATGGCTTGGGTCAATTGGGAATCCTGGAGAGCACCCAGACCCAGATTCTGACCCAACGTCATTGAACATCACCAAGTTTAGTGCGGTGAAGACCGCACAATGCTGGATGCCTTCAAGTTCAAGTCTCCAAATATTTCAATCCTTCTGCCACTTCTGCAGTGCGCTTGGCTTCGTTTTCAATGAACAGAAAGTCCTTCCCTGATTGCTAGATAGCACGAACAACGGCAGCGGTCACCGCCTGAGAAATCCATTCACAACACACTCTGACGTGAGGACATCCAGATCAGACTTGAGCTCCGAGACAGACTGCTCCATTGGTGCTGACAGATTGCCACTCCAAACGAGCAGAGAATAGAAACAAGAAGCTACTAGGAACAAGTGCATCGCTTCTAGTAACAAGTGCCTTACTAGTAGTAACAATAAGCTTCTAGTAACAGGTGCATCGCTAGTAGTAACAGGTGCCTTACTAGTAGTAACAAGAAGCTATTAGAATTCATCCTACGGCGCGGCGGTGAGATTTGGTCCACTCCGATCCTTTGCATCCGAAGGGTTCATCGGTTCGAGGGATCCGACGCCGCGGCGAGCACAGTACGAGAGGGGTCTCTGAGAGGTCTCAATTTCAACTCCTTTATCGGAGTTTCTTGGCATTTGTTTCACAACAACTTGCCTTAAACCAACTGGTCAATATTGATATTCTTTGCCCAATCCGCCTGGAAACAGCGCGGTGGACAACTGCCCAACTGCCCAGGCAAATTGCCGTTTTTCGTTGTTTGTGGTTGATTTTGAAAGCCTAGGTGGAGGCGAGGATGTTGGATTGTTTCACACGTGGCATATTAATAATATGACACCTTGGGAATATCCCTTTCAGACTCAAAACCCCCCTAACCCTTGCTACCCTCTCCCCGTTGTTCAGCAGTATCACCATAGCCAGGCATAGCTGTCAGTAGATCGGAAATATAAAGAGGATGCAGAAGCACAATTTTTGGAGGTGATTTAGTTGTGGAACAATCTCTGGTGACGGGTTGAGGGGTTGGAGTATGTCTATTTATTTTGTCTATGCTGTGTGTAAATGGGGTTGGCCCTGAATATCAAGTTGTTCAATAAGTGCTCCCGGCTGCCTTAAGAGCGGAAGGTTGGAATGACACAACCTTTTGTTTGAGCCCGCTTCGTCAAGTGTCCCCTCCAAAGGGTTATATATTTCAGGCAACTTGTTGTCAACGAGTTGTCAAAACATTGTCAAGTCCAGCTTTGATGTGTGAACTTATGTTGGTCATCGTGACCATAAAGAAAGACCATCCAGTCCAACAATGCACTAATGCACAAAGCTTAGGCACCAATGATTCTGTTCCCAATTTTGCTTGAAAAGGGCAGGGAAATAGAGAAGGCTCAGGAAACTGAAAGGGACCAGTAAACCAGCAATTTCAGCAAACAACCTAAACCCATCCAATCCATCCCTCTTGCTTGAGAAGAAAAACACATCCCAGCTTTTTGGATACTGATGTAATTGCAATTGTTGATTATTTTACAATGCTTGGCTACCCAAAAAGTTTTTGCTAAATCATTGGTTCATGTTAGAAGTTGTGTACGTTGGCTACCACAAGATTTCTGTTGAGAGGTCATATAGGTATGCTTGGCTTCCTATGATTTTGTTTTGTTTTTTACCTTGGCTGCTGTGTTTCTATTTCATTTTGATGGATCCCAACTCCTTTGTCCACTATTTTATATCACTTGCTGCAGGCACGGTTGCATCTCCAAGCAATTTGGCGATCTTGGCGAATCTGTGTTCGGACACCTGAGGGCTGGTAGCCCACGCGGTCGCTGAGCGTGGGCTCGGTCCGAACATCAAGAACCGGCTTTTGTCGAATGAGAAGGAATTGTTAAGTCCTCCCAAGGAGTACAGTAGGTTTTGATGTACTGATTTAATGTGTTTTTTCATTTGCCACTGTGTGGTTAGACTAGTTCCATCGTTTGTTTTTGCCCTTTCAGTTTGTAACAGATCGGGCGATTGGGTAAATCCTTAGTTCGGTTTTGAATTCTGCTTAAACTGGTGCTTTGCTGGTGAGCATTTCAGAAGACCTACCAAGCTAAACCAAGTCGAAGCCAAAGTCTTCATCAAGCTACCAAGTGAGAGGCATACCTCAACAATGTGGACGCATACCTCAAGAGAGAGAAAGCTCATGACTCGCAGATGCCGCTTAGTGAATGAGCCAACCACCCCATTCCAAGATCTTATATAGTTGTGGCTCAAATTTCCAGAGCAGAGTTGAGGTGGGTGGAGCATCAAGTGTTCCCTCCATTTGTAGTTAGACAACAATCCACCAACATACATGTCATCTCGTCGACTCATCAGCTTTTTTCAGGGGTGCAGGTTACACAATGTATAAATAACATTAAATAACTTAATAACTTTTGTGAGCAGGGTATGCACAGTTTGTAGGTCTTTGGCCTGCACCTAAAAAGGAAAGACGGTGTGTGAGCCTGTAGAAGTCTCTTCCAAGGCTCATGGCAACCGCGTGCACCAGCTGCACCAAAACTTTAGAGAGGACATGAAGCGCTTCGTCAAGGCTGTTCGGTACAGTCCCGTTTTCTTTTGCAGTTGCTGTTTGGGATGGTAACATGGCTCTTTGTTCAGTTGCTTTTGTATAGATCTGTCAGAGGTGTGGGTCTATTGAGGGGGAACCCACTTCAGGACCAACACACTGGGTTGGAGATAACGGATGGATCCGAGGTGGAGCGGTCGAGGGGGTGTCGGATCTGATTTTTTCCACCTGGGCCACTTCGGGGAGCCCATGGAATGATATCACAA